GTAAATTAATTGAATAATATTGTCAAATAAAATAGCTTCTAAACAATGAAGAGACAATGTAAATATTATAAAAATTCTATTTTTATTTATCTTATTATTTTGTTAATTATACAGTCAATTACTTTCATAATGGAAACAATGAAAAATAAATTTATTGATAAGCGTTTATAGTTAATCAGTGATCTGTACATTGCATACAGTCAGTTTGTCACAAATATGGATGTCATCATCCGTTACTCGAGTGTGTTCACAATCGGTGTGTCTTTATCCGTTAGTCACAATTGGTATGTCCATAATCGTTATGTCATAATATGTTATTCAATTCAATTCTTGTTTTGAGCCAGGATGTCTCTCAGATTGGTGCAAAATACATTTGGTATGTCCGGTTTCATAATGTCAGTCCAGTAGATATAAGTCACAATCGGTGTTAGAAGTGTCATAAGTTGGATTTTTTAAATGATGATTGCCGAAATGCAGAATTTTATAAATTTTGAAATAATCACGAAAAGAATTATATGTATGAATAAATAAAAAAATGAATGACGATGAATATGTACAGATGAAAATGATGATGATGATATGTACAATGAACTATGTACAGCAGATCTGGTCTGCAAATTCGAACTTCTCCACTCTGAATATACCGATGAATGACAGGAGATCTATAAACATACACAATATAAATTCTAATATCTGTATTTTTATTTTCATTGAAAATGCCAAATTTGGTGTATAGATTTAATAAACCCAATATATTTTAGGGATATTAGTTCCTTATTACTAGTACTAAGTTATTTTCCTATTCTTAAATTAAAATCAAAAGTGGTATTTATTCGCTAATAACACTTTAACATTTAAAAAGTTGGCAACACTGATTAGTAGTTAATATGGCACCTTTGTGTCACGTGGTTATTTATAGGCGGAATTTTCGTATTCTGTTTGGTCTTTTCAGTAATTTCATTAGCAACTCCGAAAAGTGAAACTGTAATTACATTAATCTCAACTTTATCTTATTCATGAGTTTTAGCTATAAAATATAATATTTATGGTATTCATTTTTGAATTATTTAAATATAATACTGTAGTACATTTAATCTGTGCAAAGAAAAATAAAGCATTACCCAGGCTTCATTTAATATTACTAAATTTATCTTTATTTTTGCAATTTAACAGTTCTATGACATTTCTAGTTTTAGTAGATAAATTATTTATTGCATGTTTAAGCATTTTAGATATATGTAAAAATTAAGGGCCAGATTTGTGTGCATGTGCATGTTTTTAAATATGTTTAATTAACATCAATGTAAACACAATATAGGTCCAAGTAGATCAAAGTAAGGTTGTCTGTTTATACATATTACATATGCATTTATGATTTTTATATTTTGCAGATTTGACTAAATAATTGCTTATAAAGTATATATCTTGTTTATATGGGTGCTAGTGCTATTTTTCAAATGATTTTATAGTCTGTTTCTGCTCTCTGTGCAGTTAATGTTTTTTGTATATGTACAGTACAATTCATGTGAGAAATATCACTTTCATCCAATTATAGATGATCATGCAAAATTCAAATCTTTTGACTTAGACCATTTATTTAATTAAATTTGGATTCATTTTATATCAAGTTCTACAAACTAATATGTTTTTTGATGTCACATAAATCTTTCATTTTTAAATTCTCAAAATTATTGTAAATGTTATATTTATTAATTTAATAATGTTAAATTTTAATATAATGTTTAATTAAATATGAGAAAGATAATTTATTGTAAGTAATGTAGTCAAACTTTCACATTTGGATTGTACACAGAAAATATTCTGTTATATCAAGTTTGATTCAACATTGATATGGGTGCTCAAACAACCAACCAATAGAAATTACTAGTGCTGAATTGCTAAGAAAGTGTACTGTACAGAAATTTGGATCCAGAAAAAGTTTTATTGTAATATATGCTATAAATTATTTTCTGCTAAAAAAAAAATAATAAAAAGATTTCTGATGTTGAATCATTCTTACATTAGTGCAACATGAAGTGCCAAAATGAGCCAAAAAAGTTATAGTTGCACTAAAGTAAACTTTAGGAGTGTTTATGATATCATTTGGGAATGAAACATTACTTTCAATTTCGGTACAAAATCTATAACTATTTAATAATTTATAAGAGTGTTTATTTATTTCTCATCATTGTACAGGGGTATGAACAAAAATATATGACTAGCCTTGTGGTGTAACTATAGGATGAAGGAAACTAGGTTAACCTAGCCATCCTCAAGCATTTTGTAAATGATCAATTAGATAGCATAAAAAGTTATAAAATTTTATTGAACATGTAATTTTATTTTAAAGTGACTTGATTGTTTACCACCTCATAAACATTATTTTAATACATGTTTTGTGACAGAAAACAACTACTAATCTTAACACTGCATTGAGTAACAACAATCCACAAAACCTTTTTTTTTTTTTTTTTTTACAACATTTTTTACAAGCGGAGGGATGAAATGCAATACGTGCAATTATTTACATTTTGGGCGTCATTGTTCCAACGGTCAAGAGGAGACACCGTTTAGTCACCACCTGAAGCAGACCTCAATGGAGGTCGAAAACATTTGTGAAGATTGTTATAGGACACAACACTGTTGTAAAAAAAGGTTTTGTGGATTGTTGTTTTGTGACATCATAGTTTTTAAATTTCTTATGCCATTTGTGCATGTTTATCTCCCCCACCTAAAAAGTGTAACATGATAGATTTGCTTTCAGACAAAAGTAAAGCATTTAAGTGCATATATTGTGATTTTAAATGCCTAAGCAATTATTTATTGTAACATTGTCACAGTGGGCTGGGCTGCAATGTTATGAAACTTGTCACAAAATATTTGATTTTTTATTTGAATCTAATACTTGCTTTGATTATTTGAGTTTTTAAATACAGTATATGATTTAAGAACTTATCTGATAGTTGAAATTATTAAAAGTAATAAATGAATATAATATGTGAATAGTTTATTTTATGTTTTATATATAGATTATACATTTTTCTTTGTATTACATATACAGTAGCATAAATACACAGAGATTTATTGCTGATACTTGTAGAAATATTTAAAATTATGTTTAAAAACAATTTAGCATTAATGTATGATATCTTATTTAACATGAAAAATTGAAAATAGAACAGAACAATGTGTCATTTCATTATGTTCTGTTCTATTTTTGAATGATTTCAGCCTGACAATGATTATTTAATACAGAAGAAAAAATTGCTACAGTAAGTTTTTACATGTTTTAGCCTGATTTTTAGTACTGTGTGCTAGTTTTCTTCACCAGTAGTGTCATAGTGTTCTTCAGCATTTCCCTGTACATGTCAACTGATAGGCTCTGTTTACTGAAAATGGGATGAATGTTGCACATGTTGATCATCCCACTTCCCTGGAGTTTTATGAAGCAATGGGGTTGATGATACTCTAATACTGCATATTGTGATGATTGACCATGTATATAAAAAGTTGCCCTGTCAGAGAAGAGAATGCTGGCAGAGAAATTTTGGTGTGCTTTTGCATGTTTTGTGGTCACTTGCAGAACATAAGCTATTGGTCTGAATCGTGTCATGTGATGCCGCATTTGTATTTTATACAGGTAGCCACTTATTGGTCTTAAGTATGCAGTGAACGCTCCTTTGGCTAATATTGGTCTCCATGACAGTTGTCATATACCCTTTTGAGGGCTTTCAGCAAACAATGCAAGTACAACCATGAATATGGCCTATGAATTTGGAAGTATTTTCGGAGGCAGACTTTTTTGCTGCAGAGACTACAAATAGACAGGATCCTTCAGCAAGGGTGGTCCTAACAAGAAACAAAAGACAAATGAAACAGAATGCCCCTATTGTGGAGGGTTATACTCTGTATTTACAGAGAGTTGGACTAAATGTAGCTGTTGTGATAAATGGGCACACTGTTCTTGTGCCAATATTGAAGAAAACGAGTTTAACCATTTTAATTTGTCTTTCTTGTATATAAAAATAATATCCCAATCTTACCCCATCGGTGGGGTAAGATGGTGCATTTACATATAATTTTAAAATATTAAATTTTCTATTTTTTAAAAAACGTTTTTCAAAAATTAAATTTTGTATATATTAACACATATATTAACACAAGCGATCACATTAAGAATTTAGGGGAGAGATCCTTTAAAAAGCCAGAAATTCAAGGAGAAAGAATGGTCGTTTCCCCCTAGCTCAGTCTGTTTATCCTCTGTGTCGAGACTTAATTTTCGTTCGGCCGTATTATAAAGGTTTTTCGGTAGTCAATCTTCTACCGTGTTAACCCTCTGAACACACCTGAAATTTCCCTAAAATTAACAGAGTTTTTTCTTAGTAGCGTTATTGATATCAGAAACTAGCTTTAACTTTACCGAAGTCAAATCTGTGCACTACAACTTTAGAACGATTAATTAAATTTGATAAAAAAGTCCCATTAAAAAACAATTAAAAAGCAATAAAGCGTGAATCGTGCGTCATTAAAGGTAAATTAAAATCGCGATAAAATTTTTTCGCGCGGGAAAAAAATTTTGAAAAAATTTGGAGACCTAAAAAACATTCCAAAAATTGAAAAAAAAATTTCCAGGAGGGCCTAAAAGACCGATTTTTCGTAACGCTATGGGACTTGCTCGAGTCAGACTCGAGCGTGGTGCAGAATGTGTTTTATCTTCGTGTTTATCCTATATTTCATCACACTTGCAACATGACAGCTGGTTTTGATTATCGAGAACTGTCTTAATCTTACCCGTTTTTGGTTTCTGAAGATCCACAATGTGGGCTGCCGGACTGTATAGAACGGGACTTGACACATCAGGTAGAGATCGCCCTGGGTTCTTCGATGTCAGAGCAGTAGACTGAAGTCTTAATCGCTCAAACATCCGGCTGTCACTTTGTTATGACATTTGCATAATGTCACGTAATATATTAATATTATTTCGGCGTGAAATTGATATTCGATGTACACCATTTCGTTCACGATTAAGTATGGCATATATTGAGGACGTTCTGTATTTAATAATAACGGATGAAATTTTAACCAATAATCTAGTGTCTTATATCAGGAGTCACGGTAGTGACCTTGACGGCTACTAAAAAGTCACTAGCAGACAACATATACAGGAATTGGAGTTTCCGATTTTCGGGGGTCGATTTTTCTGCCCCCAAACACCTATGGTAATTTCGAATATCTCGTCTCGTTCGAAGGAAAATTATTTTCTTAGGTAGTGTGCAAAATTTCAAGATTTTGTATAAAGCGGTTGCTACAATATAAGCATTCGAAAAGTGCAAAAATTTGCAAAACTAGTGGTATCTTCTCGCTGATTCACATAATCGGGAGAGAGTGGCCAAATATCTGAATAATTTAGTTAATATAATATATATTTATTTTTGTATGAATTATATTTAGTTTATTATTATGTAATATTTTTGCCAATAGATGGTGTTACGTGTAACTCAGAAAATCGGATGCGAATAAAAATTAATTGATTTATAGAAAGAAATCCAATCNTATGCTTTTGTTAGTAACTATTACATTTGTGTATTTTTATCATTTTGATAGGTGATTTGACTGGAAGCAAAGCCAATTTTACAAGAACTACATTCTTGGAACAAGATCAAAAATCTTTATTTCGCAACAGAGTAGTTGAACTATTGTGATCTGTTGTAATAATACTCTCTGAAAAATGCATTCATCAATTAATAATTATCCAATAGTTCACTTTTACAATAATAATATAAATTGTTTTTTAATTTTAAATATTCTTTTTATATTTTGGATAATAAATTAAAGAATTACTTATCTATTATTCTAGATCCTGAATTGATTCAATACAGAAGATAAGAGATTATAATTTTTGATTATCTCATAAATTATATGCATTATAGAAAAACAAAAGCAAAAAAAATTGAAATATTTTTAACTGTTTCAGATATCAAATGAAATCAAATAATGTTTTCTTATCAACAGTGAAATAAATTTCCTATTAATTTCATTTCACTTTTGAACACACTTTGACGTAGCTTATATTATTGCTTTATAATAATTAATTTTGTAGTGAAACTTACAGCAAAGTATTCATTACAAAATTAAATTATTAGATATGCATTTTAGGATATTGTTTAAATAAATTAATTAAATATTTTTTAAACACAAAATTGACTACCTGTACAACAGTATATTCAGTTCCCATCTATTTAAGATTTACTCATAATTTAAAAAAAGATTATGTTCAGAAAAAAAAATAACATTTTCAAGGAAATGAGACATTATAGTAAAACAGTTTACAAAATGTGTCTTTTTAGTTTGGTTTTTAATTGAATGTTTGCTTATAGTGACTAATAAGTTAAAGAAACAAATGAAATAACTTAGAATTCTCAGTACTGAGAAATAGGATGAATAATATATCAAATGGTTTACTTCATATCATAGCTATTAGCTTGTATTATACTGAATTCAGGAACGTTGCTCATTTCCTGAAATAGTCAAAAATTTGTGTTATGCATGAAATTAGCAAATCAGCTACAATTTCATGAATTGGGAAAATTTTCTACTTATTTCACAAAATAGACAATCCAAAGTTAGTCTATTTTGTGAAATGCCATTTTACATCTTGCAATATCAATTTTTGTTTCACTCATTGAATTTCACACACATAGAATAGGAAAATATTTATTTTAGTATTTTCTTAATGATATTTTATACTTCCTATTATCTTGTGAGTTATTTTCATATTACATTAAATGTTAGAGTAGAGCTTAAGCATATATAATAAAAAATTAAATACTCACAACAAATACTTCAAAACACATTAGAAACTCCAAAACACAATGGTATACAAAATGAAATGCTAATTTGAAACAAAATTAAAGCTGTTTAAAATACATAATCTCATAAATTTACCACAATTTTGTGCTAACATCACTTGACATGTGTACTGATTTCATGAATTTGGTATGAATATTTCCATATTTCTGAAATTGGCACATCAACTGTCAATTTCAAGAATTATGCAAATCTTTGCATATTTCACAAAACGTATATACAAGGTCTGTTCAAAAAGTATCGGACCTTTGGTCGGCAAAAATAAATTTATTGATTTTGATGTACAAAACCCTAATCCCCTTCAAAGTAGTCTCCTTGGTAATGTATACACTTCTCCCAGCGTTCCTGCCATTGCTGGAANGACCAAAAGTGCTTTAAAAAACAAAAATAAATAAATTTAAGTTTATAGTCCATCAAAACAAATATTTTTATTGTGCAGGTACCTTAAATTTGTGAAATGTTTTATATATTATATATCAGAAATATCTTTTTATTTGGCTGCTTTCAGATAATATCTGATTATCATTCATTACCTTGTTCAGCCTAAGAATTATTCATTTTAGAGACTACTGTTTTGAAGATTTTAAAAATGCATTTGTTTCTGTTATATGATTTCCATATTTTCAAAAATTATTTGAGCATTAGGAATATTAAAGTACAAGAATATTTGAAATTTGTAATATTTCTGCTGACTGAATATTTATTAGCCTTAGAATGTTTGCATATAAATTTGGTTCCTTACTGAAATAATAAATTTTAATCTGTCTTATGAGAAACAACCATCTCAATAACTTAAAATGCTTATTTTCAGATGCCTTATTGTAATTTCATCCACTAATAAAATTTTAAATTTCAGTAAATTGGAAAATATTAATAACATTACAGTTTTAACTTATTTTTATAAATTTCAAGCATATAAAATTTATAAGCTATTATAAATATAAAATTATTAAAATAGTTGACTTATTTATGAAATAACATAGTCTTCAGATGAGAGAAAATCATAATTTTAATTACTTTTTAACTTTGTAATATATGTTTTATGAAAGAGTATTATTATTTTTTAAGTATAAAAATATAAATATTTCAAATTCCAAGAACAATCTGAACAACTTTGCTAAATATTGGTGAATCTACACATATAAAGATTATGTAAAGAATGATGTATATTAAATTAAAAATAAATTTTGTTTTAGTTTTGGTTTCAGTTTTTACACTGACATTGTATATAAATATGGAAACATTACTTATTGAATACTCATGGTATTTTTTTATTGAAAGTTAATACAAAGGATTTTAAATGTCAAGATATTTTTACTATTAGCACAAACCCAAAAATTAAAAAATATTCAATAGTATAATGCATATTATTTTATATAGTGACATTCTTCAACCCAGCATTGTTGGGACAAACATGGTATGGGGTTATCAAATATGCCACCTTATTGGACNCTCCACAACTCCACCGAAGGAGGCCTCTCTCGCATCATTGGTTTACGCGGAAAAAAATAAGGTCCGATACTTTTTGAACAGACCTTGTATTTCCAGATTTGATGTAATATAATTTAAATATTTTCATTTTTACTTTACATAATAATTTGTAATATATATTTTTATTCTGGTGAGTTTAGAGATCATATGCCAAAATTAGAAAGTGTAGTTCATATTTAGTGTTAGAAACTAAAATATCTAAGACGAAGATCATGCACATGGGTGTTTTGGGAGTTTAAACCTTTAATTACTGTATAGTAATTAAAACAAAAGTAAAAATACAATACAGATTTCAAACTATTAAAAATAAAATTTCATTTATATATTATTAAATTTTAGGCACATTTTTATATAAGATTGTTTTTATAATTAATTGTTATACTCTTAATTTTGAACTTAATTGTATTTTTATGTGGATGCCAATTTTCTGTTTAAAAATATTTTTATTTATCATTAGGATATATACATATTTGATTTCTTTAACGTAGGTTTGATTTCAACTTTGCAATACAGATATGATTTAATTAATTTGTTAAGATAAAAGTATCTTTGAATCTATGTATTCTAAATTCTATTAAAATTCAATTTTTTTTAAAAAACAGGGAAAACTTACATATTTCTTGATATTTTATCTGAAATTTTGATATTTTTTCTGTATTCAATATAAAAAATATCTTTAAATTTATTCTTATCATTTCCTAAAACTAGCATCTTAAGAAATACTTACATGATTAAGATTATATTAAATTTTAAATTTGTTTAATAATCATGTGAATATTATTTTGTATTGAGATTGAGTTTAATGCTTTTAATATTTTTCCTCCTCCTATACAGTATTATAGAATATTTTATTGATATATCCAGAAAATTCATGCATATTTAAGGCAACGTCTTAATTTTTAACTGTAGATTAAGTGGAAACGTTTATCATTTCTTTATAAAGGTTTTTATTTTGCAAATAATAATAATAGAGTTTGCTAACATTCCGTCATGAATTCGTAATAGGATAGACATCTGATGAGAGATTGAGACCCAACACATCTGAACCAGACCATCAAAAAAATTTCTTGAATACATGACTTAGATTGAGGCAATGTTTTTCACCATAAATTGAATAAATAATTAGAATTTAAAAGAAATCTTTGGAACTAATTAGAATAATGTCAGCAAGTTTATCTGAAGATCTTAATATTTTTTAATGTGGCTTTTATTAGCCACATTAAAAAATAAAAATTATTGTTTGGAAAACTTTGTTATTGCTGATACTCCAATGACTATTCTCTTTGATTCTTGTACAGTACTAGCTATTCTCTATTTCTTGTAAANAATCCCATAAAAAACATTAAATTCTAAAAGTTTAAATTTTACATTAAAAACATCTGCTTTTGAAAACTGTTTGAAAAATGAGATTTGTTTTACTCGGTGTCTATAATTAAACCATTTTAGACCACTGTGGAGACAAAACTGTTAGAGATTGATGAAATTTTGTATGCACTTTTATCTCAACATGGAAAAACTTTGGATAGTTTCAAAAATAGTTGCAATTTTTGCCACTATAGGGTCTATAATAGTGTCACTGTTGCAGCAGCATCATACAATAACAGCATTATAAAGACATGCTGCAAACTTTTGTCATCTCTGAACTACAACAGATAAACATGATGTTACTGAAACATTCTATGGAAGACCCCACTCTAAAATCATTATGAGAGATGGTCGAACAAATTCAGTGCTGTAACAGGACACATGAAATGTTATTTCATGTGCCCTATACAAGTTTTTATATTTGGCTCCGCCTTTATTTTTGGAAAAATTATAAAAAAACAAATGCAATGAAAATAGTCAATTATTTTTTAATTTTAACCAAAAACATTACAGAATCAACTTCCATGGCAGCATAATTTAAATTTGAAAATAAAAATATAACAACTGATCATTCTTATACCCCATTTCAGGCTCCCCTTTGTCCTAGGCCCTGAGCTTGTGCATATTTGCATCTGCTAGTTATGGTACTGAAGACATTTGGCAATGAAGGGGGTGACAGTCAGTCTTTTCGAAAGCACTTTGCCACCTGATCTTCCACCTTGTAACTTCTGGTTATAGGACTATTTGAAAAGTGACTTTGTACAGGTGGATTTGCAGATTTATCAGAACTAAAAAAGTAAATTGAAAGAGAAGGGAATTTTGTTATTCCTGACATATTGCACTTGGCTGTTTCTAATTTGATAACTCAATTGCAATATGTGACTGAGTGACAGAAAGCATGTTGAACAGTTTCTCTGATGTTGCAACAACAGTGGCACTATTATAAATCCCTAGTGGTAAAAATTATAACTATGTTTGAAATACTGTCCATAGTTTTCTCATGTCAATAAAAATGCACCTACAAAATTTTATCAATCTTTCTTTAACAGTTTTGTCTCCAGAGTGACATAAAGTATTATACTTTAATTATAGACATTCTGTATTATCCACAATACAGTACATCAAATTTTGTATATTACTCAAAATAAAAAATGATGCTTTTTATAATGATTTGATATTTTTTTCTTACTTTCTGTTACAACAATTGACAATATTTTATTTCTATAATGATATTAAAATAATTTTAAAATTACAGGATTAGCCAAGGGTACAACCATCTCGCAACAAAATAAACCACAGATATGATCATCATATATTTCTACCTCTATCCATGATCCAGTTTAGCTATCTCTGATAGGATGCTTCATCCATTCCAAGTGTTGCTACTTATCCAGGTTTGCATTGTGTGTTCAGAAGTAGTCTGATAATTTAATTAGCAAGTTGTTTATAATAACATTTTAGAGTAGTGATCCAGAAACTAAGCTTTGAAGATAGCCTTTATTTAAGAAGCAGGATTTTTTTTAACAAAGCTCAATTTAAGCTCAGCTTTTCTGTCTTTTAATAAATCCTTGAGCAAATAGAAAATACTATGTGGTACTTTGATAGCTCTGATAAGTTTTAAAATTGAGGACCACCAATGCATTGTCAAATATGCCTTTGATATCTAGAAATAATAATAGAGATATCTTTCTTTCTTTCTTTGGCATAGAATATCACACAATTTAACAAACGCATCCTCTGCAGAATGCTGAAACAAACATGAAACCATATTTGTCATTGCTCAAAAACTTTCCATGAGGTGAAACTATCTTTAAAGAAAAAAAAAATGTATGGAAAATGGAAATTCACAATACTATTTCTGTTTATAGGCAATCCTCAGATTATGCATTACATGCATAACCTGAGGATTTCCTATATTATTATTATGAATCTTTGAATAATAATACTTTTCTATATCTCGAAAACGATTAGGTTGACCAAAAAGATTTTAAACATATAAATAGAAAGATGAAAAACAAACTTTCTGGCAATCCAATATTAATCAGAAATGATTAGAAATTTTAATATATATTTAATTTATAGAAATGTATNATTTGTTTAATAATCATGTGAATATTATTTTGTATTGAGATTGAGTTTAATGCTTTTAATATTTTTCCTCCTCCTATACAGTATTATAGAATATTTTATTGATATATCCAGAAAATTCATGCATATTTAAGGCAACGTCTTAATTTTTAACTGTAGATTAAGTGGAAACGTTTATCATTTCTTTATAAAGGTTTTTATTTTGCAAATAATAATAATAGAGTTTGCTAACATTCCGTCATGAATTCGTAATAGGATAGACATCTGATGAGAGATTGAGACCCAACACATCTGAACCAGACCATCAAAAAAATTTCTTGAATACATGACTTAGATTGAGGCAATGTTTTTCACCATAAATTGAATAAATAATTAGAATTTAAAAGAAATCTTTGGAACTAATTAGAATAATGTCAGCAAGTTTATCTGAAGATCTTAATATTTTTTAATGTGGCTTTTATTAGCCACATTAAAAAATAAAAATTATTGTTTGGAAAACTTTGTTATTGCTGATACTCCAATGACTATTCTCTTTGATTCTTGTACAGTACTAGCTATTCTCTATTTCTTGTAAAATGGAAATTATAAAATATTAGGTTTAAGAAATAATGCATAGATTTACAAGTTACTTTTAGACTTCTAAAGAAAAGATTGATTTTCTTACATGAGTTGGTAAAAAAACATTAAAAGACATATTAATCATGACTCTTACAAAAAAAAATTAACAACTTTTAAATAGCCTAGAATATTCAGAATAAAACTGAAAAAATATTTTTGTTTTTCTATTATTATCAAATACAATTTATCTTGTGTATTGCTATTTTTACTTTTTTTTTTATAACATTTCAATGTGTTCATTGTTTTTTATGCTAATAATATAAGAAATAATTCTCAATTATCAATATAAACTGTATGTCCTATATTTTATCTTTGCAGATTTCTTGTATTTTGAATGTAAAATCATGTAGGATTTAATGTTTCAAGATATTGTAAAATTAAGTAGTAGATTCTATTGTTTCCATTAAATGGTGATCAAACAAGAATGAAGAAAATGCAGTCAGAAATCAATAATGTAAATAATGCCACAGTTAGAAGTAGAGAAAATGGACAACCACCATAGGATTTAGAAAGAAACTGCAGCCATCAACTAGAAGACATCTATAATCGCGAATTGAGAAATACTAATAATTTTAGTATTAAGTTATAATAGCAAGTAAATTGTTTATAGAATGAAAATATTTTTTATAAAGATGAATAAAATATCCAGTTAAGTTCTGGGTGAAATATCTAGGAAATTAAATTAATTTTAGCATATAAATTATTAATTTTTTTTACATTTAATGCTGATTTATAGGTACATATATTAATATGTGTAATATTTATTTTCATTGAAATTTAGTTGAATCCAATTATTCAATAATGAATAAGTATGAATATGAAAGCTATGAAGAAGAATTTTCTTCCAGACACTATTTAAACATACATAAAACAACTCTTTCAGAGGAAAAGCCATTTGTCTGCTTCGTCTGTCGTCAAACTTTCACTCGTATGTCAGATTTACAGAGACATTCCAGGATTCATTCAGGAGAAACTCCTTATGTCTGTGAAAATTGTAATCGCAGTTTTAGAAGAAAAGAGTGTTTAATAATACATCTTCGGACTCACACTGGAGAAAGACCTTTTGAATGTAAACTCTGTTCTCGAACATTTTATGACAAATCTGCTTTAAACAAGCATATCAAGTTTCACACAGGTGAAAAGTCTCACCAATGTGATGTATGTGGTGCCAAATTTAGTCGAAAGCGGGCTCTGAACTGTCATCTCAAGAATCATGGACGATAAATCTTTCTTCAAAAATCGATAGGAATGATGTCGAATTTCATACTCTACAGAAAATAACAATTATTGAAGCTTTGTTTTTGAATTGAGGTTTGTTGAATGAGTTTTATGATTTAAGAAATGTTAAGATTTCATTAAAATATGCATTTACAGAAAACTAAGAAGTTAGTGATATGTAATGTAATGTCAGTTAAATGCTGTGTAATGGGTATCTACTTATCGATATTGCCAGTCTCGGTTGAAATTACACCACATGGGGTATAGTAGTCTTCCTTTCGTTTTAGTTGATCCAATCGCATGCATGATAGTCTGTAATGGATATAATAGAAACAGATCAAAAAGATCCTGTGCTTAGGCCACACATTAAAAAGTTTACAATACTCCAAAAATTACAAAATTACATACATTTATAAAGTAAGAAACAAGCTATACATTTTGCATAGTTTTGAATGTTTTATTCAAATCATTCATTTGGTATAGATCAACTATAAATATGATAGAAATTTAATTATTAGACTACGTCTGAGCATTCAATAATGGATGGATTCTATATATCAGCTATGCCTGAGATCCAATGTTTATGGACTCGTGGTGTCCTTGAAGAACAAGCAAAGACTGTAGCACACTATTATTAAATTTTACGGGATTGGTCAACAGTTTGATCTCGGAATTACATTCAGTCAAAGTATCAAAATTTTGTTCATTTCAACACAACCCACAATTATGCCAGCAAAAAGGACATTATTTCAAAAGGGATTTTCCATAATATTGTGTGAGCGATTTTTACTAAATCACCATAAATGATAGAACACAGGTGCATATAGTACTAGAATATTAAAAATTTGTACTGGATGAAAATTAAAAAAAAAGGATTTAACATTATTGCCCACCAGTTCCCGACTGCATAAAACCACTTAACACTGGTCGTGGGTATGTGACTCGCCAACTGACTGGCCGCGTGAATTTTCCGGAGTTTCTTCACGTTTGTAAATTTGTGTCACTGCCTTAATTAAGTAGGGGATAGTCTCCTTTACAGATTCCTCTTCGGCAGATTGTTCACATGTCACGTTGCTGTATACAAGCCAACCAATTGACGCAAAATATGCGAAATTCAATCATAGTCTGAAATTTTTTTCATTGTTATAAAAGTTCTATTTACAAGTAGTTCAGGAATAAAATCATATAGAAAGTTTTACATTGCCAAATAGGAACTTAAGATCAGTTCACAAATTAACAAAAATTTGGTCTATCCATTCATTTGATTTTTATTAATTAATTAAATAAAATTTTTGTAGGAATGTGAAAAATAGAAACAAAATTATTCAAAATTGCCACAATAATGAATAATAATTTCCTTCCGGATACTTTAAATTTGGATTAAAAATTAAACAGAATTTCTTTATTATTCTGTATATTCTTCTATAAATACACATAGGGGAAGATGGGGTAAGACGGGGACATCTGTTTATTTGTGGTTAATGTCGTTTTATCTAGTTATTATTTGGGAAACTAAATGTCTACCTCGAAAGGGATCATGGAGCGAGAGAACGTCCAAATCGCTCTCTTTGTTTGGAAGTAAAATACCTTTTTTCATGTTTCAGCACTACTTCATCTAATTTTACGCCTGCTAAAAAGTTTCTACAAAGTAAGTATCATTGTGAACTTTTACATTACCTTTTAGGTGAAGATATTATGATATTTGAAGTAATCTTTAAGACTGTAATTGTTTAGTTTTGAAATGAAGTTTACCTGTGTTTGTAGTCAGTATGGAAAGTGTACGTTGGGGGCAAGATGGGATACCCGTCTAGCCCCAGGTTAACCATGAATATGGCCTATGAATTTGGAAGTATTTTCGGAGGCAGACTTTTTTGCTGCAGAGACTACAAATAGACAGGATCCTTCAGCAAGGGTGGTCCTAACAAGAAACAAAAGACAAATGAAACAGAATGCCCCTATTGTGGAGGGTTATACTCTGTATTTACAGAGAGTTGGACTAAATGTAGCTGTTGTGATAAATGGGCACACTGTTCTTGTGCCAATATTGAAGAAAACGAGTTTAACCATTTTAATTTGTCTTTCTTGTATATAAAAATAATATCCCAATCTTACCCCATCGGTGGGGTAAGATGGTGCATTTACATATAATTTTAAAATATTAAATTTTCTATTTTTTAAAAAACGTTTTTCAAAAATTAAATTTTGTATATATTAACACATATATTAACACAAGCGATCACATTAAGAATTTAGGGGAGAGATCCTTTAAAAAGCCAGAAATTCAAGGAGAAAGAATGGTCGTTTCCCCCTAGCTCAGTCTGTTTATCCTCTGTGTCGAGACTTAATTTTCGTTCGGCCGTATTATAAAGGTTTTTCGGTAGTCAATCTTCTACCGTGTTAACCCTCTGAACACACCTGAAATTTCCCTAAAATTAACAGAGTTTTTTCTTAGTAGCGTTATTGATATCAGAAACTAGCTTTAACTTTACCGAAGTCAAATCTGTGCACTACAACTTTAGAACGATTAATTAAATTTGATAAAAAAGTCCCATTAAAAAACAATTAAAAAGCAATAAAGCGTGAATCGTGCGTCATTAAAGGTAAATTAAAATCGCGATAAAATTTTTTCGCGCGGGAAAAAAATTTTGAAAAAATTTGGAGACCTAAAAAACATTCCAAAAATTGAAAAAAAAATTTCCAGGAGGGCCTAAAAGACCGATTTTTCGTAACGCTATGGGACTTGCTCGAGTCAGACTCGAGCGTGGTGCAGAATGTGTTTTATCTTCGTGTTTATCCTATATTTCATCACACTTGCAACATGACAGCTGGTTTTGATTATCGAGAACTGTCTTAATCTTACCCGTTTTTGGTTTCTGAAGATCCACAATGTGGGCTGCCGGACTGTATAGAACGGGACTTGACACATCAGGTAGAGATCGCCCTGGGTTCTTCGATGTCAGAGCAGTAGACTGAAGTCTTAATCGCTCAAACATCCGGCTGTCACTTTGTTATGACATTTGCATAATGTCACGTAATATATTAATATTATTTCGGCGTGAAATTGATATTCGATGTACACCATTTCGTTCACGATTAAGTATGGCATATATTGAGGACGTTCTGTATTTAATAATAACGGATGAAATTTTAACCAATAATCTAGTGTCTTATATCAGGAGTCACGGTAGTGACCTTGACGGCTACTAAAAAGTCACTAGCAGACAACATATACAGGAATTGGAGTTTCCGATTTTCGGGGGTCGATTTTTCTGCCCCCAAACACCTATGGTAATTTCGAATATCTCGTCTCGTTCGAAGGAAAATTATTTTCTTAGGTAGTGTGCAAAATTTCAAGATTTTGTATAAAGCGGTTGCTACAATATAAGCATTCGAAAAGTGCAAAAATTTGCAAAACTAGTGGTATCTTCTCGCTGATTCACATAATCGGGAGAGAGTGGCCAAATATCTGAATAATTTAGTTAATATAATATATATTTATTTTTGTATGAATTATATTTAGTTTATTATTATGTAATATTTTTGCCAATAGATGGTGTTACGTGTAACTCAGAAAATCGGATGCGAATAAAAATTAATTGATTTATAGAAAGAAATCCAATCGATATTCTGGGGTGGGATGTGCGGCATGATGTAAGTTAGAAGCGTTTGAACGTAACTACTGAGTTTCGTAGCAATTGTTCGAACAGTCTAGGGATGTATAGCGAACAAACATCCTCTCTGTCTCACACACACATATTTTAGAAACAAATATATATAACTACAAAAATACTGTATTACTGACAGTAAAATAAAGAAATTATACTCACACAAAATAAAAATAAATTCAATGCAATTTTTGACATTGCCTTCCTTTTATAATATTGTCAATATTTGCTTTTACCGTGCTAGTCTTTATTCTAAGAATGTTAATTAAATGGGAATTACTCAACCTACTTCTTTCAGCAGTTTTGAGGATTTTCATGCACGAAAAGAATTGTTTACAACAGTATGTACAGTACTACCCCATATACATAACAATTCTCTAGATAAAACAGATTTCTAAGACCAATTACGCCATTATGACTTCAAAGTGTATCCAGCGAAACAAGAATAATTTTTACGACATACTTTACCAAAATAAATATACGTAAAAAAATTAAGGATGCAGTGGGCCGCAGGTTGGGCATCCCTGGTGTAGACGGTAATTATATTCAATTCACTATTATATTATAAATATTAATAGATTTTCCATGTAACAAATAAATCTCCAGAAACATATTAAGAAAATGCAAGCATGATGGATTATTTCATTTTAATTTATAAAACAAAATTATTATAATATGTTTCATACAACTTGATAATTTCGTCTTGTATTTTAATATGCCATAGAAATAAAAGAAACTTTTGAATCTACCTTGCATGTATTCTAAAATATATTAAAATCTGAAATGTTTTTAAAAAAGGAAAAGTGAATTTCTTGATACTTTATCTGAAATTTTTTCTGCATTCAATATAAAAAAATATCTTTAAATTTATTAGTTTCTAAAAATAGTATCTTAAGAAATACTTACATGATTAAGATTATATTTCATTTTAATTTGTTTAATAATTATGTGATTATTATTTATATTGAGATTGAGTAAAATGTTTTTTAATATTTTTTACCCTTTACCATTTGTTTGTTTTGACAGAAAATATATGATTAATTTACAGTATATATATAGAACATTTTATTGATATATCCAGAAAATTAATGCTTGCTTAAGATTACAATTAAGGAAAGATACAACTACAAAATCAGAAATATTGTTTGTTATTAAGATACTCTTTGAGTAATATGTTGTCATACTTACTGTGAATTAATTGAACTTCCAATAATGGCCATGTGTCAGCCATTTTATCAGGGAATTTTTGTTTTTGGAGAGAAATGAGTACAAAATAACCTCCAAACAATACATATTTTTTATGTTTGTCAGTGGCTGATGTTCTGAGATCTGGCTGTATTTATAAATTGTCAAATATTTTAAACAAACATCAAAACTTTTCTGCATGAATTTAATTTTGGACAACCTATGTTTCACTTAAATTTCATTACTTGATGATTTTGTTAAATAAAATTAATAGTGACTATATAATGCAATAATTTGTTTCAACATAAAGAAATTTAAAATGAAACTTTTTAGAGATGACTTGTGTTACTTAACAGAGATTCAATAATTTTATGAAACAAAAACTTATATAAACAATATATTTATTTCTATCGAAACATTTGCAAGAAAATCTATATACAAAATAGGAAACTGTTTCTAAGCCAGGAATGTATACTTGTAAATAATGTTTAATTCACTGATTTAGACTTTAAATGATTATCATCCACATACAACAACAACATATAAAATGATTACATTGGAATTATTTGTTCAGATATACATAGTAAATTAACAACATCAACAAGCTTCTTAATTGTTTCAACAAATCACAGTAATCTTCAGCCCTGTACTTTTGCTTTGACAGTCCATTTTATAATTAAAAATATGTAATATGGTGAAGTTTTTCTTTTTTTTTTCTTTTGATTTTTAAATTTATATTAAGTATACTTTCTGCAATATCTTTTTCTTAACAAAATAAAACAGAACATTTTATTATATGTTCTTAAATAGAACAATAAATAATTTATCACTATATTACATTTCATATGAGTTTGTTAAGGATTGATAAATCCATATACACACATTTATATATTGTATGTATATATCTATACATAATATAATATATATTAAGTAACCTCACATCAGCTGTAGCAATCAATATTTTCAAGCTGTGGCAAGTAGTTCTTGTTATTTTCAAGAACATATATGATATCAAAAGATTCTGCCCATTGCCACTAGCAATGATAATTCGGTCTGCTCGAGTTCCATCATCTGTGTTGTAGTTTGGCAGAGATTTCTAGAATGGACCCGACATTTTGAATTTTCCTTACAAAGAGTATTAAAGATTTTATTTCCACTTGGATATTAAGCTTCAAAGGCACTTTAAGTCCTTAAAATTGCTTTTTATATAATTTTCTAAATATTAAAAAGAAAAACAAATAAGAACACACGTAGCAATATCAGATTGGCACTAGAAACATTTAAACATACCTAGCTATCTATCTGACCATGTCTGTCAAGGGAATCAATAGTGTCATTACTAGAGCTGTGAACTAGATCAGAATACTCGTCAAATTGTCTTTGTTTTTTGCGAACATTCCAGTGTAGACATTCAGCTAAGCTATCAAACCAATCGCTGATCTGATCCTGAGCACATATGGAAGGAACAGGATATATAGAAGTGGTCACTCTTAAACTACATTTTGAAATACAAAAAGTAAATATTACAGCTCAACAAAAAAGTTTGCTTTGATATATTAAATGTATTTGTTGTTTTAACTTTTAACTTTAATCATTATATTTATAAAATTATTTCAAAAATGTTTTTTATCATTTGCTTTTAATCTTATTAAACATCATTAAATACAATAATAAATTAAACAAAAATATACAAAAACCATCACATAAGCAAAGTTTAGAAGAGCAGACAAAGACAACACAAACAAAGAACATGCAGTTTTATAATTAAGTAAAATAAAATAAGGTTCAGTCAAAGTAATAGTTGCAACTTAAATATAAACGTCAAAATAACACAAGAACAAAGCACAAACCTATCGCCCATCTTCAACTCTTGCTGATGACGGCCATCAAAAGAGACCCATGCAGTGTTTCTAGCATCAGGCGAAACCATAATCTGTGAAATTTAACAGAAAGAGACAACGACAAATTAACATGCATAAAGACATGCAGACACAAGTAGCACAAGTGAATGTGCTACAGACGTACCTATCACCGTGATGGAGTGCTTGTCGTTTACGACCATCAAACGATACCCATGCCACATTATTTGACTTTGGGGGAACCGAGATCTATAGTAAAAAATTAAATTCCGTTCATCTTTGACTGTTTAAAAATTTTGCATTACTTTCACTTTCCACTTTTGGTTTTGTAATTCAGGTGTTTGTTTTATGAGCCTGATTTTAATGACTGACCCATACAGGCTATATAGATATATTTAGAATCTTGAAATCCCAGGATATTTGCCAAATTATTATCATTTTAAATCATTTATTACTGAATTTTTCAACATTTCTCAAAGTCCAAAGCTAATTGGGAAAAAATAATTCTATTTGAATACATTACAGCATTTTATTTATATTGAATTATGTATACTAGGGATGCAAAAAAGATATATTTATAGTTATAATGGGAGAAATTAATGATTATTAGAAAACTGATCCAAATTCTTTACAATACATTTGAAATAACTGGATCTATGTGCAATGTTTACATAATCCTGCTTGAATGGAATTAATTTTATCTGAAAATATTTTATTTAATATCAAATATTATTTTAAAAATTATTTAAAATATGTAAGAGCTAAATTGCATCCGACTAACTTATCTGTTTCTCTTATGTCTGTATTGGCAACCAAGGATCAAAAATTAGAGTTAACCAATTAACATTCACATACTAAAAGTAAAGTAAATGGTAAATGGTTAACTTATAACACTTGATCCTTGGTCATGAATACAGCACTTGAAGTTATATTTCTAGATCTGTAACATTTTCAAATCCATAACAAAATTCATTACAAAACTGAATTAATAATTTTAATTGGCATGCTTGTTAATATAATTATCTTATTAAAGTATTAAATAATGTTCTTTAAATTCCTTGAAGTTCAAATTTTTTGAATATTAATTTGTGAGAAAGTGCATGCAGAATTCCTACATATATAATAATTTATAAAAAAATTCACTACTTTCACATTGAAATCGATTATTTTATATATGATTCAAAGAATACGGATAAGTAATTCGGACAACATACATTAATGCTTTATAAACTACAGAATATTGCATTTATTTTGAATAAATAAGTATTTTTACCTTCAATTCTACTCCTGCTGGAACAACAATAGGCCTAAATGATAATGAATGAGGACAAATGGGAGTAACCATGATAGCAGGTACACTTGGGTGAATCATGGATGCACCAGCTGCAACTGCATAAGCTGTGCTGCCAGTTGGCGTGGAAACTATTAATCCTGTTAATTAAGAAGTACATTTTATTAAGTTAAGCAAAAGACTATTTTAAATATTTTTATATAGAAATACTAAAATATTTATATATTTTTAATTTTTTTGATGTAACAACAATAAAATCTAATCACTGTTATGAAAATTTTAACACAAATTCACTATGTCAAAGACATTTAAACATATTTCATTACTAAAAAAAATTTTATATATGATATGTATATCTAGAAACACTTTTAAAACTTTCATTTCAAACAGGAATTTATATATATTTATGTATTTCTTCCTGAAATGAAAGTTTTTGGAAGATTCTTGATAGTCTATATTAAAAACTGTAAAGTGAAAATGTCTATTAACTGGTTGGTAACAGCTAAAAGCACTTAACAGTCAGATTTATAAAACAGATTTACAAATCAATAAATATACCATTTTATTTAAACATAAAAAGTAATTGTAGAATAATTGTTCAAAATTTATGATACCCATCACTTAGAACTTTAAATTTTCAAATTCTACAAATCAGCATACTATCAATTTAATATTCTAGTACTAAAATAATATTTGTAATATTTCATAATTATACTTTAATTAGTATAAATGATTATATTTATATAATATTTTATGATTGTTATATATTTTCTGATATAAATATTCAATTTGGTTCATTCAAATATTTGCAATAATTCAAGTAATTAAATTTTCTTTCAATAAAATTATTCTCTATAACATTTTCTCTTATAAACAATTTTTTTGTTTTGATATACAAAATTGTATTGTAACAATATTTTGCACAAAACATTGATACAAATAAAAAAATTGGTGTAATGTTTTATGCAAAAAATATATATTTATATAAGTTTGAAAAGTGTTTTCTATATGCAGTATATCTCAGAAAGGACTGTCAGGCTTTATCTTTGATCCTAATAGATACAGAAATTTGAAACTCTGGGTATATTAATAGATCTATAAACTGCATTTTTGCATATTATTTTGATAATTTTACTTTCAAATTTTATTTTGAACATATCTTGTGGAACATGGTTTTAAAAGGTTTTTAATGCTGAATCCAATGGTATAATCAGATTTGAAATCAAAGTACCTGTAGAATCTTAACTACTAGTTTATTATTAAAAATGCAAACAACAAAATGTTTTCATTGAAAAGTTCTCTTAAAATAATAAGATACTACTGAGAAACATTAAAAATCATGTTTACCATGAGTTTTTCTAATGGAATTCATTTTGTTTGAACATGTTTCACATTAAAAACAGTCACATACTAAGTTAAAAATAATCTTGAAACAGTGTTTAGATTTAATCCTATGTAAACAATTTTATTATATTAGATCTTGTTTATTTTCTTCTGTTTCTAATTTCATTTTCATATTATACAGGGTGATTCAGAACTCAAGAGACAAACTTTAAGGAGTGGTAGAGCACATGACAAAAAACAATTTTTGTATAGGAAAGTATGGGCACAAGTGATCAGTTGAGGCACAAACACAAGAAAAAACACTTGTAAACTTTATAAATTGTTTACTTACAAGTGCTTCTATACAACAATGTTTACAATAATTGCTCAAAATTTCATCCACCAACAGTAATACACACTTGGCAGTGTCAATCACTGGACCAGTATATTGGTCACCCCGACTGCCTGATTACTTCTTGTGGGGACATCTGAAGGCCCTCATTTATGAGAATCCAGTTGACTCTGTTGAGAATCTCATCACTTATCTGTAATATCTGTTTCAGCTCATGTGTATGAGAAATACCATCTTTGAAACTATATGCTAATCATTCCATCAATGCCGCCAAGCATGTATTACTGTTGATGGATGCAATTTTGAGCAAGTATTGTAAACATTGCTCTAAAGATGCACTTGTCAACAATGCTGTAAGTAAACAATTTATGTTTCCTTTCATGTGTTATTTCTTGTGTTTGTGCCTCAATGCATCACTTGTACCCATACTTTCATATACAAAAAAATGTTTTTTGTCATGTGTTCCATACCCCTTAAAGTTTATACAGGATGATTCAGAACTCATGGGACAAAGTTTCATTTTCTATGAAATTAGAAAACAAAACAACTAAGGTCTATTATGTTAAAATATTTTACATACAATTTAATCTAAACACTGTCATGAGTTTTCTTAATTTTGCTGTTTTTGAATATAAATCATCATCAAACATTATTTATAATTTTAGCAGAAGTTAGTAGTTAAGATTTTATACATCCTTCCAAATCCAATTATACCACTGGATTCAATATCCTTTAAAACCACATCCTGGAAGATATGGTTTGTCATTAAAATTTTAAGATTATAATAATTTTATATTTAAAGTTCAAAGGTTAAATTATCAAAATAGCATGCAAAAATGCATTTTTCATGCTATTTTCATCTATCCACATACTCAGTTTCAAATCTGTATCTATTATGAGTAGAAATATAAATCTCAACACAGCCTTGACAAGAAACAGATGAAATAAATAACTGAATTATAGCTTAAGTAAAACTTTTATATATTATCCAAGACAAGCAAAAAGAAAACAAATGATATGAGATGAAACAGTGATTAACTAGCACATTCTTATCTGTTCATATCCTTGTTTGCTAATATTTGCTAATAATATGTGCACAGGTGTCTTTTTATAATAATGTTGAAAATTAGGTAACTAAATAAACTATATAAAATTGTAATAAAATAATTCATATTTTTAACATTTAAACAACCAAACTACATTAAAAACTATCAGAGAATCCATTAGAAATTTTGCTACATAAACAACAGATAGCAAAAATTAATCATTTTGTCAATAAAAGCATATGAAGATTTTTGTTTATATCAATTATAATAATTGTATCAAAACTGATAGTTAATAAAATATATAAAAAGTTATGATTTTAAAGTGCTTTACAGTTTTTTTAACTAATATTTCATTGTTCAAAATGATTTGTCTCACAGATTGTTTTAATGGGAAACCATTAATGATCCCACTATAATATATTTATTATAGGAGTATAAAAAATAATTATTGCAATTGATTCTTTACTAGTATATAAATTAAATAAATTTATATATTTACTATAATTCTTTGCTACATTTAAAATTTTATTATAAAATATTACCATGGGAATTTATTTAATAATACTTACCATCACCTTGTACTGTTGTGATATGTTTTCCATCTAAATAGAGATCAATATTGGATAAGTAAGGTGATGGTCCTCTATCAACTACTACTTCATTTAACACCTACAGAAATATAAAGTTAAAATTGTTATTCATTGATAAAATATTATAGATTTTTTTAATGATTTAAAATATTGCAAAAAAATGAATACTTAAATTTATTTTTTTTTAAATTACACAGTTTAATTAAAACATAAAGCAAATCTATTTTTCTTTCTAATTTTATGTAATTTTTATAATTAATTAAATTTACATTTATTTTTATATTTTAATATGATCTTTAAAATAATAATAATAATAATAATAAAGATGGGCCAAAGTCCAAAAGTGCTTTAAAAAACAAAAATAAATAAATTTAAGTTTATAGTCCATCAAAACAAATATTTTTATTGTGCAGGTACCTTAAATTTGTGAAATGTTTTATATATTATATATCAGAAATATCTTTTTATTTGGCTGCTTTCAGATAATATCTGATTATCATTCATTACCTTGTTCAGCCTAAGAATTATTCATTTTAGAGACTACTGTTTTGAAGATTTTAAAAATGCATTTGTTTCTGTTATATGATTTCCATATTTTCAAAAATTATTTGAGCATTAGGAATATTAAAGTACAAGAATATTTGAAATTTGTAATATTTCTGCTGACTGAATATTTATTAGCCTTAGAATGTTTGCATATAAATTTGGTTCCTTACTGAAATATTAAATTTTAATCTGTCTTATGAGAAACAACCATCTCAATAACTTAAAATGCTTATTTTCAGATGCCTTATTGTAATTTCATCCACTAATAAAATTTTAAATTTCAGTAAATTGGAAAATATTAATAACATTACAGTTTTAACTTATTTTTATAAATTTCAAGCATATAAAATTTATAAGCTATTATAAATATAAAATTATTAAAATAGTTGACTTATTTATGAAATAACATAGTCTTCAGATGAGAGAAAATCATAATTTTAATTACTTTTTAACTTTGTAATATATGTTTTATGAAAGAGTATTATTATTTTTTAAGTATAAAAATATAAATATTTCAAATTCCAAGAACAATCTGAACAACTTTGCTAAATATTGGTGAATCTACACATATAAAGATTATGTAAAGAATGATGTATATTAAATTAAAAATAAATTTTGTTTTAGTTTTGGTTTCAGTTTTTACACTGACATTGTATATAAATATGGAAACATTACTTATTGAATACTCATGGTATTTTTTTATTGAAAGTTAATACAAAGGATTTTAAATGTCAAGATATTTTTACTATTAGCACAAACCCAAAAATTAAAAAATATTCAATAGTATAATGCATATTATTTTATATAGTGACATTCTTCAACCCAGCATTGTTGGGACAAACATGGTATGGGGTTATCAAATATGCCACCTTATTGGACAGTGGAAGTTTTTTGATCTCCTGAACACAATTTTTTATAACTTTGTGTGTAAAACTGTACAAATCCATTTTTTTATGATTGTTTAACACTGCATTTTAATTTTTCCACACTATTCCTATCCTCGATTGGCATGAAACAAGAACACACTATTCTTACTTTATGCTTTGTATACTTTTATTGTATATAAATACAGTTAAACTCTAATTATCAAAGTACATGAATAATAATATACTGTAGCTTTTTCTGTAATAATTCCATTTATTCCAAATGTGCTAAATATTTCTGCTTCTCATATCAAACTCATGCACTGTCTTTGGAAAAGTCTTTACAAAAATCATGTATGAGGTGAATTGGTTTTACCTAGCACAAAATCATGCAATCTTGGCATTTTTGTCTCTAAAAGGAGAACTCATGCCCATTTCTAAGGACTGTACGTTTTGAGCACTTTTACACAAAAACCTTAACTCCAGACATACCCAGTGCATTGTTAACCCACTCCCCAATCATAAGCTTGCCATGCTGGCTTATAGGATTTGCTGGCATACCAGATACTACATTGAAATTTCACTGTAACACTAAATATATATGTTTAATCCTAAAAGAATTTTTCCTGCTATTATGCAACTTTTTTAAATAAATAGATATTTATTTTAAAGGAATTAAAAATCCCATAAAAAACATTAAATTCTAAAAGTTTAAATTTTACATTAAAAACATCTGCTTTTGAAAACTGTTTGAAAAATGAGATTTGTTTTACTCGGTGTCTATAATTAAACCATTTTAGACCACTGTGGAGACAAAACTGTTAGAGATTGATGAAATTTTGTATGCACTTTTATCTCAACATGGAAAAACTTTGGATAGTTTCAAAAATAGTTGCAATTTTTGCCACTATAGGGTCTATAATAGTGTCACTGTTGCAGCAGCATCATACAATAACAGCATTATAAAGACATGCTGCAAACTTTTGTCATCTCTGAACTACAACAGATAAACATGATGTTACTGAAACATTCTATGGAAGACCCCACTCTAAAATCATTATGAGAGATGGTCGAACAAATTCAGTGCTGTAACAGGACACATGAAATGTTATTTCATGTGCCCTATACAAGTTTTTATATTTGGCTCCGCCTTTATTTTTGGAAAAATTATAAAAAAACAAATGCAATGAAAATAGTCAATTATTTTTTAATTTTAACCAAAAACATTACAGAATCAACTTCCATGGCAGCATAATTTAAATTTGAAAATAAAAATATAACAACTGATCATTCTTATACCCCATTTCAGGCTCCCCTTTGTCCTAGGCCCTGAACTTGTGCATATTTGCATCTGCTAGTTATGGTACTGAAGACATTTGGCAATGAAGGGGGTGACAGTCAGTCTTTTCGAAAGCACTTTGCCACCTGATCTTCCACCTTGTAACTTCTGGTTATAGGACTATTTGAAAAGTGACTTTGTACAGGTGGATTTGCAGATTTATCAGAACTAAAAAAGTAAATTGAAAGAGAAGGGAATTTTGTTATTCCTGACATATTGCACTTGGCTGTTTCTAATTTGATAACTCAATTGCAATATGTGACTGAGTGACAGAAAGCATGTTGAACAGTTTCTCTGATGTTGCAACAACAGTGGCACTATTATAAATCCCTAGTGGTAAAAATTATAACTATGTTTGAAATACTGTCCATAGTTTTCTCATGTCAATAAAAATGCACCTACAAAATTTTATCAATCTTTCTTTAACAGTTTTGTCTCCAGAGTGACATAAAGTATTATACTTTAATTATAGACATTCTGTATTATCCACAATACAGTACATCAAATTTTGTATATTACTCAAAATAAAAAATGATGCTTTTTATATGATTTGATATTTTTTTCTTACTTTCTGTTACAACAATTGACAATATTTTATTTCTATAATGATATTAAAATAATTTTAAAATTACAGGATTAGCCAAGGGTACAACCATCTCGCAACAAAATAAACCACAGATATGATCATCATATATTTCTACCTCTATCCATGATCCAGTTTAGCTATCTCTGATAGGATGCTTCATCCATTCCAAGTGTTGCTACTTATCCAGGTTTGCATTGTGTGTTCAGAAGTAGTCTGATAATTTAATTAGCAAGTTGTTTATAATAACATTTTAGAGTAGTGATCCAGAAACTAAGCTTTGAAGATAGCCTTTATTTAAGAAGAAGGATTTTTTTTAACAAAGCTCAATTTAAGCTCAGCTTTTCTGTCTTTTAATAAATCCTTGAGCAAATAGAAAATACTATGTGGTACTTTGATAGCTCTGATAAGTTTTAAAATTGAGGACCACCAATGCATTGTCAAATATGCCTTTGATATCTAGAAATAATAATAGAGATATCTTTCTTTCTTTCTTTGGCATAGAATATCACACAATTTAACAAACGCATCCTCTGCAGAATGCTGAAACAAACATGAAACCATATTTGTCATTGCTCAAAAACTTTCCATGAGGTGAAACTATCTTTAAAGAAAAAAAAAATGTATGGAAAATGGAAATTCACAATACTATTTCTGTTTATAGGCAATCCTCAGATTATGCATTACATGCATAACCTGAGGATTTCCTATATTATTATTATGAATCTTTGAATAATAATACTTTTCTATATCTCGAAAACGATTAGGTTGACCAAAAAGATTTTAAACATATAAATAGAAAGATGAAAAACAAACTTTCTGGCAATCCAATATTAATCAGAAATGATTAGAAATTTTAATATATATTTAATTTATAGAAATGTATAAAAATATATTTTAATTAGATGTAATTAAGTTTTCAAAACTTACCAAAAAATTTGTTAATGGCTTATTACTTTTTTCACTGCCATCAGATTTACGAACAATGATGCATCTGAGTCGACTCCTTAATGTTAAGGCAGCATGTCCTAAATAATTATTTCATAATTTACACAAAAATTAAAATTTATAATTTTCTATGTAATTATTTTCATATAAAATCAGAAAATAGATTTATCTTCTAATTAATACCTTCTAACACATTAGTGACTTGCTCTTGAAAATTATCAAATTCAAAAGGAGTTAAGAAACCTAAAGAACCCAAATGGAAAGCCATGACAGGAGGAACACTTTGCTGAAATAAAATAAATAGTTTAATTATTTTATATTAAATTTTACGTTTAAATAACTTATATTTATATTAAAACGAATTCTTTAAGTTTTTACAAAGTTTTAATATTTCTGTAATGGTTAGGATATTTTTTAATCACAATTTAAAACTGATAATCCTATTTTTTCAAATACATAAAAATCACAAAATCTCATCTGCTCATCTGTACCAATCTCAACTGCTTTCATTTAAGGAAAAAAAAGCATGATAAAAATGGATAATTCATTTAATATTACATCTATTTCAAATAGAAATGGTTGTTTAATTGCAGGTCTTGTAATAGGGCATACACAATTTTTTACTGAAAAGATGAGTTGTGCCATTTATTGATCATTGGCCAATGGCCAAGATAGTTTCTATGAAGTACTAACAATGTCAAGTACTAACAAAACTTGTAAATATGTGCAAGTTTTGTCAGTACCAGATGAGTAAGAGCGTAATTTGTTTTGTATGTTTCTGTATATGGTTCCAGTTTTCATTGTAACATCAAGCAGGTATCAAACTTTGTGTCATGCTTGGTAAAAGTGTATTGGAAACCTACAAAATGATCTGATTCTTAAACAGAGTAGCTGTATTCTCTTCTACAATATAAGAAAAAATTGAAGAGTAAGTTGTGTATGATTAAACTGTTGGATATGTAGGAAATACTATACCTGACATAAAGGATTATAGAATTAAACTAACTACAAAATGATGAAAGTGGCATACAGGAGAATGAACCATCATGTGCAGTAACATTTGATTCAAGGGTGGCTGGCAGTTTTTACAAGACAAGAGAAATGAGTATGATTAAATGATTCAAATGAACAGAAAAGTGTAAGCTATGCACTTCATGCTGAGGATCTCCAACTGACCCTTTGTGCAATAGATAAACATTCAAATATCAATAAAAATATCATTCCTACCATTATTAACAAAGATTTGAAGTGCAGAAAGATTTATGCCTTCTTTGAACAGAAGAAAAAAACAACTAACTGTTATCATGATTTTGTTGAAACCACAGACAGAGATCCAGAATTTTTTAAAATGACTGTACATGGTGATGAAACATGGGGTTTCATGTATGACCCAAAAACAAAAACAGTGATCTGCATGGGTGAGCTCAGGTAAACAAAAACCATTGAAAGTGTGGCAACAAAAATCAAGGCTAATTGATTCCTGAGGCTTGATTCACCATGAATTTGTGCCTCCAGGTCAAACTGCAAATTCTTCAGTTTATATAGAGGTTTCAAAATGAGTTCTGAAACAATTGGGATGCATCATGCATGATTCGTGTATTTCTGAAAGTTAGTGTCTCTTACACAACAATGCACCTGGCAAACATAGACACAACTGTCTTGAAGTTTTTGGCAAATGACAAGTCATGGTAATCCACCACTCCCTGTATTCATCTGATCTGGTTCTAGCAGACATTACACATAAAAGAAATTTTTGACAATGTACTTGTGATCAATGAGAATGTAATGAATATGTCAGTTAAAGCCAATTCTGGAAGAAGAGTATTATATCTCCCAATCAATGTACTACCAATCTAATGTGTGTATCAAGAGAGATTATGTAAAAGCCTGATGTAAATAAAAGCTGACATCTGAATTCATTGATTTTTTAAAAAATTTTATCTGTGAACTTTTCAGACATACTGTGTACTATAAAAATTACTTTATTAATTTTACTGAATAAAATTTGAAATAAAAATGTTTCTAAATGCACTTTATTACTTGGTACTGAAATGCATAATTAACAATAATAAATCAGTCTTTCCAGCATATTTGCATCTTGCTTGTTTATATTACACATGTTTTTAGATAAATAGATTATAATTACATTTGATAATCCTAATTTAATAATAACAGAAGAAGAATTATAATGTACCTGAAATAAAGAAGAAGCATATAAAAGTGTTCCATCTCCTCCAAGACATATAATGAAATCAATTTTGTCTGTGAGATCATCAGTACCTTTTAACAAATAAAATATTAAAATTTATAAGAATTAATATTAAAATAACTATCTTTTATTATTAGTAAATAATAATAATGATAAAACTATTATCAACCTTCTTTGAAAGTTGATAATTTATCCTTAATAGGGATGAACATTTGGTTACTAAGAAGATGAACATCTTCAAGAACAGAAGCTTCAACAAATACAACCATATGTTTTTCCTGGAATAAAAATAATTATTAATACATTTTTATGTTAATGAAATATAGAAAATCTAATATTATTGAAAATGTTATATATTTCAATATAGTTTTAATGAGAATATTTACTAAACATTACTCACATATAAGAGCCATTTTACTAAATCAATAAATGGTTGAATAACTGATGTGTCATGGACTTTCTTAATCACTAGAACAGTAAGAGGTGGTTTGTTCCACGTCAGTCGTTGACTGGCAGGATCTTGAATGGTCCTGTTTAAAATTTTATATCTAAATTTAATATATGTATATACATAACATGGAATTTTAAACATTTAAATATAAACTTATACTTTCAATAAAATAAAAATATAACTTTAAAGCAAATATTAAGGGATACATGTGTATATATATATATATATAAAATTTTAACTTAAAATTTCATACACATTTAATAATAATAAAAAAGCCTTTAAAATTTATTTAAATAAATAAGCATAGATATATTTACATATTCTTTATTATTTGCTCTATACTTAGTTTTACTTAACTAAATCCCTATGTAATTTTAGGTCAAGATTAAATAAAAACAAAGACTTTAAAATTAAAGAATGACGATCTTTAACCTCTTAACATAAACTGTTGAGAAAATGCAGTTTAAAAATGCAATGTCTTTAACCTTATTAAACCAGAAAGTAGTGGCCACTGACATACTTTAAGTCAATAAGAAAAATATATTAATATAGAAAAACTGAAATAGATTAAAAAATTCTAAGTAATGAATTTCATACTTTTCTGTTTATCTATATTTATAAATTANTTTCCTTTATTTCATGTTGTAGTAATATTTTTGCCAATAGATGGTGTTACGTGTAACTCAGAAAATCGGATGCGAATAAAAATTAATTGATTTATAGAAAGAAATCCAATCGATATTCTGGGGTGGGATGTGCGGCATGATGTAAGTTAGAAGCGTTTGAACGTAACTACTGAGTTTCGTAGCAATTGTTCGAACAGTCTAGGGATGTATAGCGAACAAACATCCTCTCTGTCTCACACACACATATTTTAGAAACAAATATATATAACTACAAAAATACTGTATTACTGACAGTAAAATAAAGAAATTATACTCACACAAAATAAAAATAAATTCAATGCAATTTTTGACATTGCCTTCCTTTTATAATATTGTCAATATTTGCTTTTACCGTGCTAGTCTTTATTCTAAGAATGTTAATTAAATGGGAATTACTCAACCTACTTCTTTCAGCAGTTTTGAGGATTTTCATGCACGAAAAGAATTGTTTACAACAGTATGTACAGTACTACCCCATATACATAACAATTCTCTAGATAAAACAGATTTCTAAGACCAATTACGCCATTATGACTTCAAAGTGTATCCAGCGAAACAAGAATAATTTTTACGACATACTTTACCAAAATAAATATACGTAAAAAAATTAAGGATGCAGTGGGCCGCAGGTTGGGCATCCCTGGTGTAGACGGTAATTATATTCAATTCACTATTATATTATAAATATTAATAGGCTTTCTACATAACAACAAATAAATCTCCAGAAACATATTAGGAAAATGCAAGCAGGATGGATTATTTCATTTTAATTAAACAAAATTATTAAAATATGTGTCATATAATTTGATAGTAATAACTTCTTGAAATAATCATTATTTGTCTCTCCGAATTAAAGTATTTCACAAGGTATCGTCATTTCAATAGCAAATCAACAAGATAAAGAAACAAATTCGTGAAAGAAATTTTTAAACTACTTTTTTGGCAATTGTCTCAGTCAAAATATAAAACAAAAGTTATTTCTAGAAACAATCGCATATTTTATTGACGAAACGTAATTTTTATCAATAAATCACGTTAAATAATTATTTCCAATATCATTTTATCTTTTAGCTGAATTTCGTTTCACGTATTTCATGTTTGGCATTCGAACGGAAGTTTATATGTCGTTATGAATTATGCCCATCTATAAACAAGAAATTGATTTTTTATTTTTAATCAATGTGAATGGATTTGCTCAAATCCATAAATCTATTTAAATTTGTTTCTTAATGCAATGTTTCTATATAGAAATATATATGTATATATATAGAAACATTGCATTTATATAGAAACATTGCATTAAGAAACAAATATATATATATATNTATAAAGTTACAATATCTATATTGTAACTTTATCAACTATTAGAATTGGATTCAAATCTGCTTTTAGTGCTTTTGAAATACAAACTACTTCAATTGTTGCAAAAGTTATTATAAGAGATCATATGATCTCTTAACTATAAAATCAATACAATGAATATAACTGGTATAAAAATAAAGATATAAAACAGATTTTTAATTTTATGGCATATTTGTGCACTTTTCTTTCTTTCAGAATCCATGAATCTGCATGAATCTATTATATTATGTCCTGAAAATTTATATAATAGACTTTATTACATAATCCACTGTCATAAAAACAAGTACCAAAAAACTTATTTTAATTTGCTTTTGGGTATATTTTAATTTATTTTTAATTGCGTCTTACTAGAAGCAAAACAATTTTCTGGCTCTCATAAATACGAATGACCTATAATGACATCAGGCAGATGATAAGACATGTTTTATATAATTTAAACACTGTCCATATTGGGAAAAAATATGCAAAACCTTGGGCATTTTAAAAAGATAATTTTGAACAGATAAATGATATATATTATCTTATTTTTAATGAAACAAGTTTATTATTTTTTAACAAATATACATTTCCCTTTACTTTTTGATATATGATAATATACCTTTAGGGTGATTAATTAGGTAGGAATGCTTATCACCCGATAAAATACATTCTGAACCGATAGTTACTTAATAAAAATTTATAGATAATCTTCAACGTTTCAAGTCATTTATCACACAAAACATTCAATTCAAATATAATAATCGTACAATATTTGGTAACATTAACACATCTTTCAATACGAAAGATGTTTTAATCATTAAACGAATGCCAATGCACTTGTAGTATAGCAAACCCCACAAGACACAGGAGATACATTCTTAACTTCACAACACACCAGGACGAATATAAAAAGTGCGACTCACAATGACCAATTAACCAGTGTGAAAACAATTAACATTTGAGTGACAAATATTTTCGTAACCCCTTCAGGGCTCTTCTTTGGGCTTCTTTTTAATCCAAAACTTTTGAATTAAAAAGGTTGTTGTGAGTAGGAGATACATTCCGCACCACACAAACCATGAATCGCAAAACCCAATACTAAACTCGCAGTTTGTACACAAGGCACGGCTTCCCACGCCACAGAACATATCCTCCATATCGTACGGGGTTTACCGTACATTCAAATTATTAAACGGACAGTTAAAAGGTCATACTTACATCACCATGGCTGAATTTTTCATAATACGGCCACATGGTCCGAAGTGATAGATAGGGCTAGGAGCATTCAAAGATCTCGTTCGCCTGGTTAAAAAAACAATAAAAAGACATAAATTAAACCAAATCAGATGTGTAATTGATAATAATATAAGGATAATTATATAAGAAATATGGTTTTTGAATTATCTTACTGTCGAGATATAATGTGAGTATGAATTTACTCACATTTTCTCGAAACGACTGTGAACTTTCTGTTCTTGAGTCAAATTGCTTTCGTTCAATTGTATACTTTGAGGGTTCTTACAAAAAACTGAATCGGTCGATTCGAACAGATTGGAACACATCCTAGCATCAATACTCATCGACCAACATTCATCTCAAGCTGAATGCACCACTTACACATTTAATGTCGCAAATGTTTTCAATTTTCGGCTATTCACGGCGTGACGTAATCGATTCAATAAAAACTCGTCCCCAACCAATCAATATCGGTCGCCATATTGCTTCTCAGAACAGAAAATTTTTGCCAACAAAATATAATTCTTTTGTAACTTTCGTTAATAGTTTTATTATATTTTTAACTTACTTAATAATTAGATAAATAAAATATTCAAAATTTTATAAANAGATTATGTAAAGAATGATGTATATTAAATTAAAAATAAATTTTGTTTTAGTTTTGGTTTCAGTTTTTACACTGACATTGTATATAAATATGGAAACATTACTTATTGAATACTCATGGTATTTTTTTATTGAAAGTTAATACAAAGGATTTTAAATGTCAAGATATTTTTACTATTAGCACAAACCCAAAAATTAAAAAATATTCAATAGTATAATGCATATTATTTTATATAGTGACATTCTTCAACCCAGCATTGTTGGGACAAACATGGTATGGGGTTATCAAATATGCCACCTTATTGGACAGTGGAAGTTTTTTGATCTCCTGAACACAATTTTTTATAACTTTGTGTGTAAAACTGTACAAATCCATTTTTTTATGATTGTTTAACACTGCATTTTAATTTTTCCACACTATTCCTATCCTCGATTGGCATGAAACAAGAACACACTATTCTTACTTTATGCTTTGTATACTTTTATTGTATATAAATACAGTTAAACTCTAATTATCAAAGTACATGAATAATAATATACTGTAGCTTTTTCTGTAATAATTCCATTTATTCCAAATGTGCTAAATATTTCTGCTTCTCATATCAAACTCATGCACTGTCTTTGGAAAAGTCTTTACAAAAATCATGTATGAGGTGAATTGGTTTTACCTAGCACAAAATCATGCAATCTTGGCATTTTTGTCTCTAAAAGGAGAACTCATGCCCATTTCTAAGGACTGTACGTTTTGAGCACTTTTACACAAAAACCTTAACTCCAGACATACCCAGTGCATTGTTAACCCACTCCCCAATCATAAGCTTGCCATGCTGGCTTATAGGATTTGCTGGCATACCAGATACTACATTGAAATTTCACTGTAACACTAAATATATATGTTTAATCCTAAAAGAATTTTTCCTGCTATTATGCAACTTTTTTAAATAAATAGATATTTATTTTAAAGGAATTAAAAATCCCATAAAAAACATTAAATTCTAAAAGTTTAAATTTTACATTAAAAACATCTGCTTTTGAAAACTGTTTGAAAAATGAGATTTGTTTTACTCGGTGTCTATAATTAAACCATTTTAGACCACTGTGGAGACAAAACTGTTAGAGATTGATGAAATTTTGTATGCACTTTTATCTCAACATGGAAAAACTTTGGATAGTTTCAAAAATAGTTGCAATTTTTGCCACTATAGGGTCTATAATAGTGTCACTGTTGCAGCAGCATCATACAATAACAGCATTATAAAGACATGCTGCAAACTTTTGTCATCTCTGAACTACAACAGATAAACATGATGTTACTGAAACATTCTATGGAAGACCCCACTCTAAAATCATTATGAGAGATGGTCGAACAAATTCAGTGCTGTAACAGGACACATGAAATGTTATTTCATGTGCCCTATACAAGTTTTTATATTTGGCTCCGCCTTTATTTTTGGAAAAATTATAAAAAAACAAATGCAATGAAAATAGTCAATTATTTTTTAATTTTAACCAAAAACATTACAGAATCAACTTCCATGGCAGCATAATTTAAATTTGAAAATAAAAATATAACAACTGATCATTCTTATACCCCATTTCAGGCTCCCCTTTGTCCTAGGCCCTGAGCTTGTGCATATTTGCATCTGCTAGTTATGGTACTGAAGACATTTGGCAATGAAGGGGGTGACAGTCAGTCTTTTCGAAAGCACTTTGCCACCTGATCTTCCACCTTGTAACTTCTGGTTATAGGACTATTTGAAAAGTGACTTTGTACAGGTGGATTTGCAGATTTATCAGAACTAAAAAAGTAAATTGAAAGAGAAGGGAATTTTGTTATTCCTGACATATTGCACTTGGCTGTTTCTAATTTGATAACTCAATTGCAATATGTGACTGAGTGACAGAAAGCATGTTGAACAGTTTCTCTGATGTTGCAACAACAGTGGCACTATTATAAATCCCTAGTGGTAAAAATTATAACTATGTTTGAAATACTGTCCATAGTTTTCTCATGTCAATAAAAATGCACCTACAAAATTTTATCAATCTTTCTTTAACAGTTTTGTCTCCAGAGTGACATAAAGTATTATACTTTAATTATAGACATTCTGTATTATCCACAATACAGTACATCAAATTTTGTATATTACTCAAAATAAAAAATGATGCTTTTTATAATGATTTGATATTTTTTTCTTACTTTCTGTTACAACAATTGACAATATTTTATTTCTATAATGATATTAAAATAATTTTAAAATTACAGGATTAGCCAAGGGTACAACCATCTCGCAACAAAATAAACCACAGATATGATCATCATATATTTCTACCTCTATCCATGATCCAGTTTAGCTATCTCTGATAGGATGCTTCATCCATTCCAAGTGTTGCTACTTATCCAGGTTTGCATTGTGTGTTCAGAAGTAGTCTGATAATTTAATTAGCAAGTTGTTTATAATAACATTTTAGAGTAGTGATCCAGAAACTAAGCTTTGAAGATAGCCTTTATTTAAGAAGAAGGATTTTTTTTAACAAAGCTCAATTTAAGCTCAGCTTTTCTGTCTTTTAATAAATCCTTGAGCAAATAGAAAATACTATGTGGTACTTTGATAGCTCTGATAAGTTTTAAAATTGAGGACCACCAATGCATTGTCAAATATGCCTTTGATATCTAGAAATAATAATAGAGATATCTTTCTTTCTTTCTTTGGCATAGAATATCACACAATTTAACAAACGCATCCTCTGCAGAATGCTGAAACAAACATGAAACCATATTTGTCATTGCTCAAAAACTTTCCATGAGGTGAAACTATCTTTAAAGAAAAAAAAAATGTATGGAAAATGGAAATTCACAATACTATTTCTGTTTATAGGCAATCCTCAGATTATGCATTACATGCATAACCTGAGGATTGCCTATATTATTATTATGAATCTTTGAATAATAATACTTTTCTATATCTCGAAAACTATTAGGTTGACCAAAAAGATTTTAAACATATAAATAGAAAGATGAAAAACAAACTTTCTGGCAATCCAATATTAATCAGAAATGATTAGAAATTTTAATATATATTTAATTTATAGAAATGTATAAAAATATATTTTAATTAGATGTAATTAAGTTTTCAAAACTTACCAAAAAATTTGTTAATGGCTTATTACTTTTTTCACTGCCATCAGATTTACGAACAATGATGCATCTGAGTCGACTCCTTAATGTTAAGGCAGCATGTCCTAAATAATTATTTCATAATTTACACAAAAATTAAAATTTATAATTTTCTATGTAATTATTTTCATATAAAATCAGAAAATAGATTTATCTTCTAATTAATACCTTCTAACACATTAGTGACTTGCTCTTGAAAATTATCAAATTCAAAAGGAGTTAAGAAACCTAAAGAACCCAAATGGAAAGCCATGACAGGAGGAACACTTTGCTGAAATAAAATAAATAGTTTAATTATTTTATATTAAATTTTACGTTTAAATAACTTATATTTATATTAAAACGAATTCTTTAAGTTTTTACAAAGTTTTAATATTTCTGTAATGGTTAGGATATTTTTTAATCACAATTTAAAACTGATAATCCTATTTTTTCAAATACATAAAAATCACAAAATCTCATCTGCTCATCTGTACCAATCTCAACTGCTTTCATTTAAGGAAAAAAAAGCATGATAAAAATGGATAATTCATTTAATATTACATCTATTTCAAATAGAAATGGTTGTTTAATTGCAGGTCTTGTAATAGGGCATACACAATTTTTTACTGAAAAGATGAGTTGTGCCATTTATTGATCATTGGCCAATGGCCAAGATAGTTTCTATGAAGTACTAACAATGTCAAGTACTAACAAAACTTGTAAATATGTGCAAGTTTTGTCAGTACCAGATGAGTAAGAGCGTAATTTGTTTTGTATGTTTCTGTATATGGTTCCAGTTTTCATTGTAACATCAAGCAGGTATCAAACTTTGTGTCATGCTTGGTAAAAGTGTATTGGAAACCTACAAAATGATCTGATTCTTAAACAGAGTAGCTGTATTCTCTTCTACAATATAAGAAAAAATTGAAGAGTAAGTTGTGTATGATTAAACTGTTGGATATGTAGGAAATACTATACCTGACATAAAGGATTATAGAATTAAACTAACTACAAAATGATGAAAGTGGCATACAGGAGAATGAACCATCATGTGCAGTAACATTTGATTCAAGGGTGGCTGGCAGTTTTTACAAGACAAGAGAAATGAGTATGATTAAATGATTCAAATGAACAGAAAAGTGTAAGCTATGCACTTCATGCTGAGGATCTCCAACTGACCCTTTGTGCAATAGATAAACATTCAAATATCAATAAAAATATCATTCCTACCATTATTAACAAAGATTTGAAGTGCAGAAAGATTTATGCCTTCTTTGAACAGAAGAAAAAAACAACTAACTGTTATCATGATTTTGTTGAAACCACAGACAGAGATCCAGAATTTTTTAAAATGACTGTACATGGTGATGAAACATGGGGTTTCATGTATGACCCAAAAACAAAAACAGTGATCTGCATGGGTGAGCTCAGGTAAACAAAAACCATTGAAAGTGTGGCAACAAAAATCAAGGCTAATTGATTCCTGAGGCTTGATTCACCATGAATTTGTGCCTCCAGGTCAAACTGCAAATTCTTCAGTTTATATAGAGGTTTCAAAATGAGTTCTGAAACAATTGGGATGCATCATGCATGATTCGTGTATTTCTGAAAGTTAGTGTCTCTTACACAACAATGCACCTGGCAAACATAGACACAACTGTCTTGAAGTTTTTGGCAAATGACAAGTCATGGTAATCCACCACTCCCTGTATTCATCTGATCTGGTTCTAGCAGACATTACACATAAAAGAAATTTTTGACAATGTACTTGTGATCAATGAGAATGTAATGAATATGTCAGTTAAAGCCAATTCTGGAAGAAGAGTATTATATCTCCCAATCAATGTACTACCAATCTAATGTGTGTATCAAGAGAGATTATGTAAAAGCCTGATGTAAATAAAAGCTGACATCTGAATTCATTGATTTTTTAAAAAATTTTATCTGTGAACTTTTCAGACATACTGTGTACTATAAAAATTACTTTATTAATTTTACTGAATAAAATTTGAAATAAAAATGTTTCTAAATGCACTTTATTACTTGGTACTGAAATGCATAATTAACAATAATAAATCAGTCTTTCCAGCATATTTGCATCTTGCTTGTTTATATTACACATGTTTTTAGATAAATAGATTATAATTACATTTGATAATCCTAATTTAATAATAACAGAAGAAGAATTATAATGTACCTGAAATAAAGAAGAAGCATATAAAAGTGTTCCATCTCCTCCAAGACATATAATGAAATCAATTTTGTCTGTGAGATCATCAGTACCTTTTAACAAATAAAATATTAAAATTTATAAGAATTAATATTAAAATAACTATCTTTTATTATTAGTAAATAATAATAATGATAAAACTATTATCAACCTTCTTTGAAAGTTGATAATTTATCCTTAATAGGGATGAACATTTGGTTACTAAGAAGATGAACATCTTCAAGAACAGAAGCTTCAACAAATACAACCATATGTTTTTCCTGGAATAAAAATAATTATTAATACATTTTTATGTTAATGAAATATAGAAAATCTAATATTATTGAAAATGTTATATATTTCAATATAGTTTTAATGAGAATATTTACTAAACATTACTCACATATAAGAGCCATTTTACTAAATCAATAAATGGTTGAATAACTGATGTGTCATGGACTTTCTTAATCACTAGAACAGTAAGAGGTGGTTTGTTCCACGTCAGTCGTTGACTGGCAGGATCTTGAATGGTCCTGTTTAAAATTTTATATCTAAATTTAATATATGTATATACATAACATGGAATTTTAAACATTTAAATATAAACTTATACTTTCAATAAAATAAAAATATAACTTTAAAGCAAATATTAAGGGATACATGTGTATATATATATAAAATTTTAACTTAAAATTTCATACACATTTAATAATAATAAAAAAGCCTTTAAAATTTATTTAAATAAATAAGCATAGATATATTTACATATTCTTTATTATTTGCTCTATACTTAGTTTTACTTAACTAAATCCCTATGTAATTTTAGGTCAAGATTAAATAAAAACAAAGACTTTAAAATTAAAGAATGACGATCTTTAACCTCTTAACATAAACTGTTGAGAAAATGCAGTTTAAAAATGCAATGTCTTTAACCTTATTAAACCAGAAAGTAGTGGCCACTGACATACTTTAAGTCAATAAGAAAAATATATTATTATAGAAAAACTGAAATAGATTAAAAAATTCTAAGTAATGAATTTCATACTTTTCTGTTTATCTATATTTATAAATTAATATTTGAAATAGTAATTTGAAAATTATTTCTTGAAAACATGAATTGAGAGTTTTGTTTATGCTTTTGTGTATTTACATTGCATTACTTTGTATAATTTAGGATTAAATTAAGATAAACAATTTTTGTTTTTATAGTACTTTTATTTTTAAATAACAATTATCATAAAATTCTCTAAATTCATTTTCTAACAAAAAATTTATCTTCAGCATCTATAATGAAATAATATTCTATTATTTCATTATAATAGTTATCTTTTAACAAGTTCATCAAAGTTTGAAAATTTGATTAAAGCCAATTTAAAATTTTGTTGTTAAATTTCCTTGACCTAATTTGCACAGAAATGAATTAATTTGGATAATTAAAATTTAAATCCCTTTGCAGTTTTTGATATGATTTAAATTATACAGTCTGTAGTCTATAGACTACAGTTACTATATATATAGATAATATATTATAATAATATTAATACATTAATATTATATATATATATATATATATATATCTGGATGAAGTCTAAAACACTTTGCCCTCCCCCAAAAAAGAAACTAAAAGAATCTTACTATCTATTATTACGTAGATTCATAAGAGAAAGATAAAAATTAATGAATTAGT